TAAGTACAGCTTCCTGTTTTGTGCTGTTTGTTTCTATAACAAATGAATAACTTGTCCCTCTGGGCTTTCTCTGTTTTCATTCCCCTTTTATATTAAAAGTCCTTCAATTCTGAGCCTTTAAGTAACCACTTCACCCACAATACACACACACACACACACACACACACACACTCACAGATATACCTTCCCTGGACAAAACCAAACTGTTACCTTTATTCCACTAGTGTTTCTCAAAGTGTAATCTTCAGGTAATTCACATCGGAGTCTTCAGAGGGTGGGAGGATTTGTTAAAAATACATATTCCTGCCAACGTCCAGACCAACCACATCAGAATGCATGGAGATGGAACCTGGATGCTAAATTAGTTAACTCTTCCCCCACTCATCCAGGTGATTCTCAAACACACTAAAACGAACCGGCCAGGCGCAGTGGCTCACACCTGTCTGTAATCCCAGCACTTTGGGAGGCCAAGGCGGGCGGATCACGAGATCAGGAGATCGAGACCATCCTGGCTAACACGGTGAAACTCCGTCTCTACTAAAAATACAAAAAATTAGCTAGGTGTGGTGGCGGGCGCCTGTAGTCCCAGCTACTCGGGAGGCTGAGGCAGGAGAACGGCGTGAACCTGGGAGGCGGAGCTTGCAGTGAGCTGAGATCCCGCCACCGCACTCCAGCCTGGGCGACAGAGTGAGACTCCGTCTCAAAAAATAATAAATAATAAATAAATAAATAAATAAAACTTGAGAACCGTTGCTTTACAAAAAATCATTTCCTCTCTGGTTTCAGCCCCTATTTTTTTCGGGTCAAAATGGAGCTATTTTCTTATCCATCTTGTTTACCTCTGAGATCAGCATCTCCTTGTCTCTTCCTAAGAAACCTTCTCTCCCCCGTCTCTCTGGCCTTTGATGGTAGCTTTTCTCTGGGCTATTTCTCAGGCCTTGCAATCTACTTTAGCAAGTCCTCAGGACACAGTTACTTCTTCCTCCTCCTTAAGCTGCTCTAAAGAAACCCCTTTAGCATCCACAGCTCACACTGCCCAGCTCCAAACTCCCTTTACAATACCCTGCCCAGGGATTCACAGTAACATCTGTTGGTTAAAGGTAAGCCCCATGTGGTTCACAAAACTCATAGCCTTCCTCCTAAATATTACAACTACTCAAGATCACTTATTAACAGGGGTTCTCCAAATTTCTTAAATGCACACACCACGACCACAATAAACGAAATAAAAACAAGTTCTCCTATTTCACCATTCTAACATACCAAATGCTGTCATTTTTTTTACAGCTCACATTTAATTCTTATTCATAACAAAATCAGAACGTAATTTAAAATTTTAATTCTGCTTTTCTAACCTAATATCATATCAAATATATTTTCATAACTATCATAACTATGATTTTTAATGACTTTAAAACAACCCACGGGCTGTGCTCAGTGACGTGCCTGTAATCCTAGCACTTTGGGAGGCCAAGGCAGGAGGATCACTTGATCCCAGGAGACGGAGACCAGCCTGGGCAACAAAGTGAGACCCCATCTCTACAAAAAATAAAAAGTTAGCCAAGTGTGGTGGCACACACCTGTGGTCCCAGCTACTTGGGAGGCTAAGGCAGGAGGATCAAATGAGCACAGGAGGTCAAGGCTGCAGTCAGCTGTGATTACGCCACTGCACTCCAGCCTGGGTGACAAAACAAGACCCTGTGTTTAAAAAAAAAAAAAAAAATCTCATGGAGTTAACGTTGCCAGAGCCCCTATTGCTTAGTGTTTAGGTTATTTTCAGATTTTGCTGCTATACGTGATAATACGATGAATATGTTCATGCATATTATTTCTTTCTTCTTTGAATTATTTATTCAGAATAAATTTGCAGGGGTGGAATGAATGGATCAAAGTGTATGAACACTTTAATGGCTCTTGGTACATATTGTCAAATCGCCATATTTGTATTTTACACAGTTCCTCAGTAGTATGCTAGTAAATGTTTAACAACATGCTTGCCCCCCACGCCCCGAAAAGAAAAAAAGGTAGGGAGCCTGATTTACTGTGTTTGCTGATTTTCACAGTGTAAATACTTTTACCATAGCCAATTTCAAGCCACCAACATGACATCGCTGAATGCAAAATTGAAAAGAGATGCTCAGATAGCACATTATAATACAGCATTTCCATAACACAGATAAAGAGAAGTCAGTAATTTCAGTGGCTTGGAAAATTTCTGAAAATATGACAATCAGCACTTGTAAGCGAGCCTGTTCTAGAACACCACTGTAAACATCTCCCTTGATATTTTGCAAAAGCACATCTTTTTTTTTTTAATTGAAATCATTGAAATTTCACCCTGTTCCCATCTGTGTGACAAACAATGAGCATGCTTTTAGGTCCACAGATGATACAAATAATGAACAAAATCTAATGCAAAAAAAAAGGGGGATAGAGTGAACATCTAATGCCTGTCTGGGTTGAATAATTCCGTCTACCAACCCTCAAGCATTCATTTTACGGTGTTTTTTCCGTGAGATCATGTATACAAACGATTCGATCATTTGTTTACTTAACGAGGCACTGAATGGATGACTATATGTAGTTCTCAGGCAAATGTGATGAGACCCGTATCTTTCTGTTTCTTAACCACTCTCTTCCTTGGTTTTCTTTTCTACGAAATGAGGAAGAGGTCACTGTGACTTCTGTTTTACGAGAAACTGAGTGCAGAGATAAGAAAGGTTCAACTTATGCTCTAAGAAACACTTGAACATTTAGCAATGCTCTGGAAATTTCTTCCAAAAGCAATTCATTAGCATTCTATTTTACCAGAAAAGAATGTGATTTGGCACTTTCTCGCTTGAAAGCAGCTTCCCCTCTTTGGACTGCCCCGGAATAATATGTAGCTTCTACATGTATACAACACTTTGGTTTTTAAATTAGTGGCGCCCTATGTTTGCATGTTAAAATGTAGGTATGACTGAGCTAAACATCCTCACACCTTTGACCCAGTCACCCCACTCCCAGTAACTCATCCCAAGGAATAAATTCAAAACAAAGGAAAATACTTTCTGTGTAAAAATATTAATCACAATAGAGAATAGATCAATTTGCCTCATTTCAGCACTATTCAACTTACAGTTTCTGGGGCCCTGGTAGGAGAGTTCTGGATTCTTGGTTCCTAAATCCCCACCTGTAAAACGACCACTTTCCAAGTTGTTTTAGGGCTTGCATTTTTTAATCACACAGATTCCTGGATCTCATGTGAGGGTTGGGATATGAGACATGGAATTTCAGTTTCTTAAAAGCTCCCCAAGTGGTTTTGCTGTCCAGCCAGCTTTAGAAACCACTATTCCACACTGAAACAGCAGACACATGATCATTATCGCTGAACAACTGTCCACATCCCGGCAACAGCATGAGAACTTCTTGTGCAAGTCGTCAAAATGTTGTTCAGGGCATTCAAGCAGTTGTTAGAGTCAAACGGCTACAGAGCCATGGAGGAGCCCTAAGTTTCAGGCACCCTACTACCCCCCTGGGGTCATCCTTTCCATCTCTGACACCCTCCTTGCTCTCACTGCCCACCCCAGCCCCCCACTCGGTCATGCTGCCTCCCAGCCTCCACCTGTGCACCCCATCCTGACTTGTGCCCATCCCTTTTCATACACAAAGCTCCAGAGTCTCCTCCCTTAGGACACCAGTGGGACTCTGGAAGGAACACTACCACCGTTTGACTCAAGTCATCTGCGCACATAATTAGGAATCCCCTGCACAATTAACACACCAGGTGGATTTCCATTTTTTATAGGAGGCTTTTAATCCAAAAAATATTTATAACCTAGAGAGTGGAATGGGGAAGCAGGATGCTTTTTAAGCTTGGCTTTCACCTAGATCCAAGCATCCTGAACCCAAATAAGCACTTAATGCCACAACGATACCCACTCGTAAGTAGAAATGGAATTTTAGTTGTGCTTTGTTAGCACCAAAATTAACACATTGTAAGATAGAATAATTTAATTTAAACTGGGCAAGGAAGAAAGGTCGCGCTCTCTGCCTCTAATGAAAATCACCTCTAGAATTCCACCCAAGCATTCAGAGAGCAACATCAAACAAGGAGGCCCACAAGTAAAGCAGCAGCTACTCAGAGGACCTCTCTCATAAGCTAGAGAAACTGTTACAGAAAGGCTTAAAATAGCAGTTTCCAAGCTTATTTTCCTTTCTTCATATGTATTCCTACTAGAAAAACATCCAACCCTGTGCCTTGTCCATATTTGGTGCTCAAAAAATGTCAATTCCCAGTCTCCACCTGTCACCCCCGCCCAACTTTCCCTGGAAAGGAATGTTGGGATTAGGAGAATGTTGGGATTTGCAGGCTTCTTGCTCTTAAGCCTGGGCTCGTAACACCTTCATTTGTGTCAATAGCCAAGTCCTTAAGAAGAATCATAAGAGTTGTATCTATTGAGAGATTGTTTTTAAATTAGGCACTAGGCTACATGCTTTACATGTTTTTATCTCATTTGATCTCTGCAACAACTCTCTGAGGTAGGTATTTTCAGTTATTATTAGTGTTATTTGAATTATTTTGTGAATTTTTTTAAAAATCTGAGCACTGAAGAAGTGAAGTAACTTGTCTGAGGTTCCCACAGCCCAGAAATGATGGAATGGGGATTCAATGCAAAGCGATCCGGTTCAAAAGTTGGGTTCTTATTCACCATGCTGTATGTTTGTTATTAAATGGGTTCAGATATTTTATGGTCCAGAAAAATAGTGTCTGAATTATTACGATCTACTGACTCTCTAAACAACGTCCAGAAAAAGAACAGAAGCATACCCGTGCCATCTCATTTAGACATGCAAAGAAAGTAACACATATTTCATGGAATTTGGGGACTGGCTTTTGAGGAATAGAGACTTGCTTATCATTCATCAACCAACTCATCCTCCCAAGAGGAAGACCACTTTAATTCCCGGATGATTGAAAGGCCTCCTTAAAATGTAGAAACCAGAGGTGGAGGTCTTACCTGCACCCCGAGCCACACGAACCTTTCTCTGCGTAAATGATGTCCCAAGGGAAGACAGTAGAGGGCAAATGGAGGCCCACAGTCAGGTGTACGGATGCAGAAAGCAGCCCCCGTGGGAAGTGGCCACACTCGACAAGCTTCCTCTCACGTGGAATTCTGCTAGTGCCGTGAGAGCCGAGGAGGCGCAGCCCAGGGCAGAGGGAGACCAGTGACTATTGAATGGGGTCCCTTCTCCCCAGTGCCTGTAAGGTCCTCCCTTTTGCGTCCACACCCTAACCGTCTAATCTGATTTCCTGCAATGTGTAAAACAAACTATCTTCTCTTCTCCAGTGTCTCTTCAACTGGCCTTATCATCTCCACGTCAGCCTTGCCTTTGTGCCTTTGCCCACAAGGTCCTCCTAGTCTGAAATCACCTTCCCCTTCTTCTTCTACCAACACTTCGCATCCTTCCAAAGCCCAGATCTTCCCGACGACTCCAGTTTGCCCCCAGACCACCTCTACGGAACTCACAGAACTCTTCAGGCCTGAGCTCCCCACTCATCACTGAATTCTCATCTTGCACTGCTTCCTAAATTTTACTTCTTATCACGACTACTAGATTATACGGCCCTTCAAAGTAGAGATTTTAAAAATATTTTTCTTACATCCTCCACAGCACCAGCTTAGAACCAGTAAGGGATCACCAACTACTTGTTGCCTGCTTAAATACTTCAATGGCAACTTTCATTTAGTAAAGCACCTAAAACCGGTGATTTCCCAAACTTTGTTTAGTTACAACTCAGGCTACTGACTGGTACCTCATAGCATATCTCCAAATCAAACCACCTCAGAAGAAAAATTAAATTTAATTAAAAACTACATGTTATACATCACAGAGCACTTTTGGGAAATGGACATTAGCATTGGCAAGAGGTGAAAAACACAAGCTAGAAGTTCCAGATTGAAATCTACATCATTTAGAATTTTGGTTTTTTCTTTTCTGAACTAGACAACTTTAAAGTTCAGATTTGCACAACTTAGTCTTTAGATTTACTTCATCAAACCTTGGGTAGTATTTAAACTACCCATACAGTTGAGCCCAGCCACAGTCAGTCACAAGCATATGCATTCTCTAGAGTATCTGGAAAATCAAAAAGCCAACGACTGTAACTTTTAATGTTTCAAAAATCTTGTTAGGACTGTGGTGAGGGGCAGTGAATATCAAAGCAATACCCACCCCCCCAACCCGCCGTCCCACTGTGAATTGGTTCTACACCTTACAGCAGGTAGATCAGTCATTACAATGTTTGGCCTAGAGTAAAAGCTAAACAAAATTAGAAAAATTTCTTTTGACACCAAAGAAATACTTTCAAAGAAGCAAAATCCTTACCTGTTGCAGAACACCGAAGGAATTTCTTGACAGTAAAATGACTGACTCCGGAGATCAAATTTGTTCAGCAAAAGGATGTGAAAACAAAAGCGGCCCAAGCCTTTTCACTGTGGTTGATTTCCTCCTAGGATTAACCTCTCCCTTGCTCCCGAGAACATTAAGTGATTCACACTAGAAGAACTGAAAATACAAGAGTTGGGCTGGCAGGGAGTCCACCCCAAGATGGCTGGGTTTAGTGTGCGTGAGGCAGCAGGAGCAATCCGAATGTGACAAAAGAGATTAGCGAGTTCCTGTGCCTAAGTCAGTTTCCTGTAGCCGGCTTCTCCGCAGAGGGGGTTTCATTTGTGTGGGTTTAGGGGGGTGTGTGTGCACGTGCGTTTCTCTCCATTAGAATATGAAACTTCCCCAGATCAGAGGCAGAATAAGGCCTTTGCTGCACCGCTGGGTTTGCGTTGAATTTATCTCTCACCCCACTCTGAGACTGTATTTCTCTCTCGCTTCGCCCCATTTTCCTCCAGCAAAGCCCTAGGTAAAACTGAAGAATGGAAGACTGACGAGTCCAAATGATTCCTCATGGAAGTAAAATTACAAAAAAAAAAAAAAAAGTCCATGCCACTGATCCGTCTTGGTTAATCCGAGCTTAGGAAACAGCACCTTAGAACTTTCCTCACATCAGCTCGGGGAAAACAGGAGATGGGTTGTCTGCCTTGCTTTGCTGCATTAAAAACTATCAAATAATATTTTGCAAAGAACAGACGCAGGCTTAGTGAGAGTTCAAGCAGCCCCCGCCGTGCGTTCACCCCTGTGTGGATGGGCACCTGGGCTGGGAGGTACCTGGCAATGAGTTGCTTTTTCAGACTCCTCAGAGTTTCATTATTTGCCTAAAAACACAAGTTTACTTGTTTTGTCCTAATGGGCAATCCAGGTGTAAAGACCATCTGCAACTACTTAGGTTATGGCTAAACGCCTAACCCAACAAATGGAACTTTCGTGATGTGGTCACACCCCCCTGTGCCCTGAATCCCTCAGTAACTGTTGATGCTACCGCTCACGGTGATAGCTTGGTCAAAATACCTGCCGGCCATAAGGATAAAATCAACTCCATGCCTTTTATTTTATTTTATCAGTGCATCAGCCCCACACGCAAAGATTTGAGTTTAATTGGGCTGGGTGGGGACCGGACATCAATATTATTTTAAACCCCTCTGATTATTCTAAAGTGCTGCTGCCACTCTAATGGATAAGAAGGAGGAAAGAACATTCCAAGCAGAGGCGAACAGTACATGCAAAGGCCCTGAGGTAGGAAAGAAGTTGGCATGTTCAAAGAAGTGAAAGCAGATGACTGTGCTTGCAGCACAGTTGTAGAGGGAATCAGTGGTACAAGGTGAGCATTCTTATCAATAGACACACAATTACCAAGTTCACAAGACTTTCATATGAACCCAAGTGTCAATTTGTTGATGCATAGTAAGAACTCAATCTGCCAGCTGAGATCCTTGAGCCTTCTGAAGAGCACATTATCTCCTAGAAAATCCTCTGTGGGAGGCCAGGTGCGGTGGTGGTGGCTCACACCTGTAATGCCAGCACTTTGGGAGGCCAAGGGGGGAGCATTGCTTGAACCTAGGAGTTCGAGACCAGCCTGGGCAACATAGTGAGATCCCATCTCTACAAAAATATAAAAATTAGCTGAGCAACCACACCTGTAGTCCCAGCTACTCAGGAGTCCAAGGCAGGATTGCTTGAACCCATGAGGTTGAGGTTGCAGTGAGCTGCGATCCACCACCACACTCCAGCCTGGGGACACAGCAAGACTCTGTCTCAAAAAGAGACAGAGAGAGAGAGACAGAGAGACAGAAGAAGGGAAGGGAAGGGAGGGAAGGGAAGGAAAGAAAGAAAAGAAAGAAAGGAAAGAAAGGGAAAATCCTCTGTGGAAAGCCAGATCACCATGGTGATGTTATCCGCTGAGCAGAACATAAGCTTGTGGATACTTTATTTACTTCTGGTTTTGTTCATCAAAGGATTTAGAGCATCTTGCAAAAATACTTTCACCTTAGCAAAATGAAACAATTAAAAACAAGAAATATGAAAATGGGGCCAAGAGAAGTGAAGACAAAAGCGACACTAAAACGAGGGGTAAGGTTAATTACAGAAAATGTATGCCATGTGGTTCCACGCTCTTCAGCAACGGGTATGAAGCAGGAACTACCACCACACAGAAAACTCTTTGCCCACGGGAGAAACATAAACAAATAGCTCAGAACCATGAGGCCTCCCTGGCTCCCCAGTGCTGAGATTAAAGAGGAACTCTGCCCCCTGGATTCCCATAGAGAGACAACATGGCTGAAGTGAAACACCGTGTTTAGACTCCACGCAGCCAGCCACAAGTCTGTGCGGTGGTTCCTTACACTTTTCCTCCATGTATGCTGATTGCATCTCACCAAAGAGTTCACTAAAAGCAACTCCAGGGCGTGCAGCGGGGAGAGTGTAGCAGGAGATTAACAGAGTGTACCACGCCACAACACTGCTTTGATGTTCCAGTTTTATCCAGAGATGAAAAATGACTTCATGGGCCGGACACAGTGGCTCACGCCTATAATCCCCATACTTTGGGAGGCTGAGGCAGGCGAATTGTTTGAGCCAGAAGTCCAAGACCAGCCTGAGCAATATAGCAAGACCCAGTCTCTAAAATAATAATAATAATAATAATAGGCAGAGTGCAGTGGCTCACGCCTATAATCCCAAAACTTTGGGAGGCCGAGGAGGGCAGATCGCTTGAGGTCAGGATTTCGAGACCAGCCTGGTCAACATGGTGAAACCCCATCTCTACTAAAAACACAAAAATTAGCCGGGCGTGGTGGTGCATTCCTGTAATCCCAGCTACTCAAGAGGCTGAGGCAGGAAAATTGCTTGAACCCGGTAGGCAGAGGTTGCAGTGAGCTGAGATCACACCACTGCACTCCAGTGTGGGCAACAGAGTGAGACTTCAGCCTAAATAAGAAGAAGAAGAAGAAGAAGAAGAAGAAGAAGAAGAAGAAGAAGAAGATAAAGGCAAAGAGTTCCATGAAGTGAGCTGGGAATCCCCACTGCCTGCCTCAAGACTTGGATGGACTGGGTTTAAGCCTAATAGAAAGAAGAAGAAAGAAGAGAAGAGAGACAAAAGAAAAAAATAGTTTACAGACAACTAGCCACAAGAAACTTCAAATAAAGTTTACATCTCCATTCAAAGTTTCAAAAGAAGATTTAAGAGGCAAAAGAGTTCAAACTGGTTGCCCCTCAACAGAGATCCAGGTATCTTTAAAGGGGGACACTGTCTCCCCTTCAAGCAGAAGAGTCCCACCACCAAGGACAAAGAAGAAGAAGAAGAAGAAGAAGAAGAAGAAGAAGAAGAAGAAGAAGAAGAAGAAGAAGAAGAAGAAGAAGAAGAAGAAAGAAAAATGATTTCAGATATGCTTCAGAAAATTCAGGATAAAAAGTTTGTCTCATTCAAGTTTCTAAAAGATTTAAAGAGGCAAAGAGTTCAAAACTGGTTGCCCCTCCAACAAGAGATCCAGTGTCCTTTAAGGGGGACACTGTCTCCCCTTCAGAAAGCAGAGGAGTCACACAAGGACAGCTTCCTGTGCAGACAGACCCCCTCCATCTCCTAAGTAGAAAGGGAGGTGAGGCTCTGCCCTTTGGGAAACAAAGCTAGAAACGCCACCAGCATGATTTATCAGGAGCTCCAGGCCTCAGGCCTTGTACCATTTTCTGCACGAAAGTGGAGACGTACTCCAGAGTCGGGATGGACTGGGTGTGTCCTCAGGCACAGGCACTCCCACCCCATCCTGGAAGGGACTAGGAAGGGCACTGTCGTGCCTGGCTGCGAGACCCCTGTCCCTTTCACCCCATGGCTGACCACCCTTCTGCTTCTGAAGAACTGGCTTTCTGTGCCTGGAATTGCCAGTTTTAGATGATCCGGTACAGTCCAGCATTGGGCTTCCTCCTACTCCTGACTTACACACCTCTGATCTTCACACAGTTTAATCTCAGAGAGGATTTTCTTAGACAGAGGGGACAGGGGGTTGGCATCTAATTTTCTTCCTTTCTTGAAAATGTCTTTTTGGTGTCTCTCTCTCTCCCCACTCCCCTCCTCCCCCACCCCGTCCCTCCTCTCCTCTCTCTCTCTCGTTCTCATTCTTTTAACAGACTTTTAACCGACAGGGGTAGTGGTGAGAGGAGGAAGCAAAAGCTGAAAATACATGCACACATTCACAGACACACACACACCCAAGCCCCACAGCGTGTCCCTTCTGATGCTGTGTGGTCCGTCCTTGGGATGGGGTAGGGGGAAATCCTGGGGACTTCAGAGTGGCAGGAGGAAGGAAACCATGGGTCCGCAGTCCCTAACTGGGAATCAGAGGCCCCCTCTGAGCCATCTTCCAGGAAGCCATCTGCAGCCACCACCCACCTCCCCTGCAAGCCCAGTGAGGTGCCCTCCCAGGGGCTCCACAGCACGTTGTGTTAACACGGCCGGAGCACTCACCAAACGGCCCTGTGGTGTTCACTTCAGTGGTCCCAGGGCTCGGGGTCCAGCCTTGCTCACTCAGAAATCCCAGGCACCGAACAGTCATTCAACAACCGCTTTCTGACCAGTAGATTGATTCTCCCATCTCACAGCCTCACAGCTACCCTTTACGGTAAACACTTTAAACCCTATTTTAACAGCCAAGGAAACAGAGACTTCAACTGGTTAAATGATTCGCATAAGACCCTATGGCCAACAAAACCAGAACCAAGATTCACCCCATTCATCTGTCCTGGCTGTCACTCCCGCTGCCTCCCCACAGAGAGAACTGAACTAGCGCCGGCAAGGAGGAGCAGCCAGAGCCCCGAGGCCCAAGGCCCATTTCCTTGGCCCTAAACATGCCCCCTCCAGGATTCCCTGTGCAAACGGTCCCAGTCAGGTCAAGGTGAAAAAGCAAAGACTTACTTTCTCAAAACCACCTGCATCAGCAATGTTCTCTGACATGGCAAAAGAACAGCTTACTTTTACTTTAATAGTCTCCTCTTTTACTGAGGTTTTTAAAATAGTATGACAACTACCTGTGTACCCTGAACTCATGCATAAGCACTACGTTTGCTCATTGCAAAGCTGTTATGCCACTTACACCAGCGAAAACTCTTAATGACAATTGTAATTGTATGAATAGTAAATCTTAGAAACCTTGAGACATGATTCATCTACTAAATTATTTCAATGCTGGGTTAGTGAGATACCTTTCCCTCCCCCTTGCTATTAGCATATTAACTGAAATGATTTAGATTCAGTGGGTAGCTTTTAATGTTTACACAGACCCTCATTTATGCCACCTAATAAAATATTTCAGTGAGTTGTGAAGATAGGTAATATGTACTAAAACCTTGTCTGAAGGCTCTGAATTTCAAACCCAGGCCATTAGTCATATTGCAATTATTCTCACCCAGTTCCCCACTGGATGATGAACAACTGTATTAAAACAAAATATCCTTTCTTTCTGATTGAGAGATTTCATGAT